GATGAAGCAGTTTGTAAAGGCCTTAGACAAAAATGGCAACTGTTTCAAGAATCTATGTTTTCATAGATTTTTCAAAGCCAGTTCCCTTGACTGTGGTTTCGCTTCAGAAGCGAAACTTAAATCCTTACATGATAGAAGAAAAAAAAAAGAATAATATTTTTGAAATCTGCGTAGCTGAATTATGGAAAATCTGTTATTAAAACCAAAACCGCTTTTATGAAGTTTAAACTCGCAGATCTGTGTTATTGGGTTTTTTATTAACTTTAGGCTGCGTTTGAGGATCCTTCATTTCTGTGTGTTTCATATTGAAATAATTTGTCTCCTATCACCCTTATGAAATAGCTTCAGCAACATTTTCACATAGTTTATTAGCTTTTTCTTAGATGGTTTGCATAGTTTCTCATCACAAACCATTAGTTTCTACATCTTAGGCTTTCATTGACAGGGATGTTTCTCTCTTCTCCATTGGAGAGTCTGTGGATGACAAGTATTTCTTGTGATGGTTTTAGTCTTCATATAACTTTTGAAGATAGGTTTTAATTAGTTTGTCCAACCTACTTTGATCATTTAACTAAGGCTGCGAACCGAGTGAAATATCGAATCGGTAAATTGTATCAGTGTTGATGCACCCAACATTCGTTGATATCAGGATCTGATTTTGACAGTCTGCATTTGTGTGTTCCGTGTGTCTGTACGGTTCTAATGTGTGTGTGTGTGTGTATATATATATATATATATGTGTGTGTGTGTGTGTGTGTGTGTGTGTGTGTGTTGTTGGCATACATCAAGTTTCAAACTCATCTTCAAATAAAGCATGAACTTATCACGGAACAAAAAGGGCACATTTTCATTAGAATACAAAACAAGTATATCTTGGAATAAAGTTGAAAAACTCCTCTTTCATTTTATGTTATTTTTTCTTTTTTAAACACTTCAGAGTTAACTTATTTGAAATCAACAAAAAAATTATTCTAGTCTTTTTCTGAGTATATACCTATGATAAATATTTCTTGCATGGAGTTGCTGTTTCCTTTAAGACAAGATGTTCCAGAAGTGACACCTCAGATTAATGAAAACAAGTAATGATAATTTAGCTTAGCAAGAGTGTAAAAAATTTTATGAAAAAAAGCAATTTGTCAAGTAGATGAAATTGATAATATGCAACTCACTTTTAAGTCTTTAAAGTTTTAAGTGTTATCCAAAAATTAGAGATCGTGTTGTTTTTTCTTACGTCTGTTAATTTTCTGTTTTATGCCAGCATGAAATTTATGAAAATGATAATAATAAATGTTTTTATTTCTGATGTTTTTATTTTATAGCCAAAAAAGACAAAGAAAATATAAGAGACCAAACAAATGTTTTTATGTATACCTCGTTGCTAGCTACAGTTTTTGTTTTTTAGTTTGCCTTTTCTAATTGAGAAATGTTTTCCATTGGGTTTTCCATTAGCCAATAGAAAATGGATGAATCTTTCTCACTACAATGAAAACTAACAATTTCTCAATGTTAAATGAAAGTGTATACATTCACTTTGATATTTCAGTTAAAGATTTTGAAGTATTGACAGTGGTAGTTATCTTTTCATTAAGACTTAAAAGTACAGCAAATAATTTTTTTTTTCACTTTAGTGTTGAAAAAGGAACCTTTTGTTGGTAAAAAAAAAAGTTGAAAGATCATGCAAACATAGTTTTTAGACTGTTATTATTGTATATCTGATTAAATTTGTTCACTGTTTTTCATAGGTTCAATTAGCATTCTCACCACCTCATGATGACAGACTTGGAGATGGAACACCTTTCTTTTCACTGTTTAGTCAGGAGTTTGTTCCTTCTAATACTTTCACTCAGACATTCTTGCAAGGAATTCTGTCATTTGTTGAAAGCAGAGATCCTGGTAAGGTTGATATTCCAGGTGTTTCAATAGATACTTCCACTGTTCAAGATATTGGTTGCCATAATGTTGGTTTTTAGACCTATTTGACCATGCAGAAGGCAGCGTACATAGTCAAGTGGTGTATTATGATGACATTGGTTACACTACATGGTACCTGTTTCTATAAAAGCCATTATTCAAAATGATATTTAATCAGTGGAAGTGACTTTTGGCAGACCTAGTATAATAACCCGATATCTTTTGTAAGAGTACACAGATTATAGGTACCACTATTAATAAATACTGGTATATGAAATGAAATTATTTTAGTTTTCAGTTGAATTTATTTGAAAACATTGATTTGAATAGTTTTTTCACAGTTTTATTTATGTATCTGTATGTATGCATTACAATATTTCACATTCATTTGTGGTTCAATCTTAGATTTGTTTATGATGTAATCTCTGGGTTTGAATGACCTTCTAGTTTGATACATACTGTTTCAGTTATCAGCTCTGTTACTCCTTTATAATGTCGCTTGCAGCAATCAGTTTGGCAAGATCTTTAATCTCCATTTCATTAGAGTTATCAAACTACTAACTTTGTATGTTATTAAAGTATTTATTTTGGAAATAGTACAGTTTAGATAGCAATGTTATGAAATCATTAGTAAGTAATGTAGAAATGTAGTTGCTATTATACACACACATTTTTATTGAATTTGATTTTGAAGTTTGTGTTTAAGTTCCAAAAGCTCTTTTAAAAGTTATTAGTCTTAGCACTAAAAAGTCATTCTTCAGATATGTAACCACTTTGGGCCAGTTTTGATACGTGTTACGTTTTTTTGCTTCATAATTATTAAGGTTTATTTATCTGTAGTGGTGGCCAATGCTTGGATGGAAACTCTGCTTGATGTTATTGACTTACTTCCAAAAGAAATTATCAAAAGAGATGTGAGTTATTTTAATTTTTTGCTTTGTTACCTCTAAAACACTGCATCTGATATATATAAGTACATATATGTACTACAAAACAAATCATATTGTTTAATTGCTAAAAATTGTGACCTGTACCATTTAAGACACACAAAAAAAGGTTTAAAGATGCAGTTTTCTATGCTTATAACACTTAAAGCTGTAAATTGCTTTGGTGTGTGTCAAATATTTTTCAGTGATAAAAGTTTTATTGTGGTTGAACTGGTGATCAATTTTGTGTGTGGTTATCTCATTTTCTCATTATTTTATCTATTGACATTTGCTGTTTTATTTTCTTTTTGACATCATGTTCAAGAATACTTTTTATTGATGTATAAGATCTGACAGTTCCAAAAAGCATTTAAGTTCAGGTTTAATTTTTAATAGATCTAGAAAGAGTTTAAAACAGAAAACAGTTGTGGCCACTTACTATATTAATGTACCTGCCTATGACAATATTGTTATTATTGCTAGAAAGTTCTGTTACAGGTAAGTAACACATGTAGAAGAGAATGAAACAAGCAATGTATAATTTAATGATAAAAATATTGTTATAACAAACTGATTGAAAAAGTGCATAAGAAAGCTAAAACTTGTAAGGTTTAGATTGGATTGGATAATCATCATTTAAGTATCCTCGCTGTTATCAGCATTTTAGCATATACAGAACTGCTTTAAGATTGTTACGTGAAGCAGAGATGCTTCCATATTCTTGTAATCCAGTTTTCCGAGTGTTCAGTTACAGAAATAGACATGAACTGTAAATGCAAGTTGAGTATTCTCAGACAGATTTACTGTTATTTAAGGAATCAGTACTCATCAGTCAAGTCCTCTTTTAATTTTTCATATTTTTTGCAGCATGTGTGAGCATGTGTACTTGAACTTCATTTCTATTAAAGGTTTTTATTTATCCATCTCAAATTATATATAGTTGTTGTTTTTTTCTTTTTCTTTATTTATTTTTTTTGCATTTAAATTTTAAATCACATTGTGCAACAGTCTTACAACAATCAATCTTCTTCTCTCGGTTCTTTGTAATTTAAGTGTTTTAATTTTATTTAAATTACACACCATGTGCTGTCTCTTAGTCCACTCACAAAATATCACTACACTTGTCCTTTCACATACCAAGCCCTTCTTGTGGATATCAAGGAACTGTGTACTTGGTTTATCCTTGAATTACCTCTTATAAACATGGTGTAACTAAAAAGTGGGCAGCTAGAAGTAAAAAAAAAAGAAAGAAAATTAGATCCCTTAGAACTTACAAAAATGAATATTTAGATACATGAATTATTACACTAGCTTGTTTCTAATAACATAACTAATGATTTCATGCTATGCTATAATTAAGACTTAATAATGGTAGCAAAAATAAATCTGTTGATGTCTTGACATTATCAGTGTTCATTACTGTTCATTAAGTTAGAAAATGAAGATAATTAACTGAAAAGTTAAATTTGTTTTATAATTATTATAGTTTAGAAAAGGCCATTGGACTGCATACATTTTTTATTTGATGTTTGATGAACTGTGGGGAGTTAAAGTTATAAATGTAAGAGTCTTTAGAGTGTTAACTGTTCCACTAAGAAAATTACATAATTTTTTTTTTTTTTTTTTTTTTTTTTTTTTTTTTTTTTTTTTT